TGGAAGAACAAATCAAATCAAATCAATCAATCAATAAATAAATCATTTAATTCATCCCAGGGTGGGAAAACTGGGAATTCCTCGAGTTCCAACGGAAGGGTTGGCACCGGGACAGGGAAAACCCGGGAAAACCATTGGAAGAACAGGTCAAATAAATAAATCCATAAGTAACTGGTGGCAGCAGGAAGAGGCAGCAACACAGGGAATCCTGTTCCCATGGATAGAGGGGCTCAGGGCCGGGAATTCCCTGGAAAAGCCCCGAAATGGAGGCAGAGCTCTGAAGGAAGCTCATGGGAACACCGGGAATGCCCCGGCAGCGAGCCAGGGGAAGCCACTGGGAATTGTGCTGAAGGGAAGCGCCGGGATCCCTCCTTTTCCCACCCGGGTTCCTTCCCAAATCCCGTTTTTCCCGGGAGTTCCCACTCACCCCTCGATGGCGGGCGAGCGATCCGGGCGGGAGCTGCCTCGGGATCGGAAGCGGCGGCTCGGGGGCAGCCGGGGGGGGCGGCCGGGCCCCCACAGCTCCCCCGGGGGGCCCCGCTCCGGATCCCGGCCCTCGGAATCCAGGGAGCCGCTCAGGAAGGGCCGGAAATCCGGGAAGAACATCGCGTGGTCCAAGTGGTCCCAAAGCTGCGGGGGAAAGGGAGGGAAAGAAGGGGAGGGTCCCGTTGGGAACGGAGCCCCGCGGGCGCCGGAGCGGCGTTCCCGTGGTTGCCGCGGATTCCGGGGAGGAAAGGCCGGGAAAAAGGCTCAGTTGTAGCCCGAGGGGATGCCCGTTATCCCAAGAAATCCAGGGGTTATGGCCTTGGTCTCTCCCTCTCTCCAAGGGCTGGAATTTGAGGAGGGATAAGCCGTGGGATTCCCCCCCGGGGGTCTCACGGCCCCAGGGAAGGACATGGATGTGGATTTGGAAGGATCCCCCATCCCTGTGCTCCTCCATCCCATTGTTTTGTGGGATCTGTCCCTGTGGATAAAGCCATTCCCTGCTCCTGTGGGATCTGTCCCTGTGGATAAAGCCATTCCCTGCTCC